AATCTTTATACTGATCCAATGAGAGAGGAGCTGTAAACAATATAGATGGATGGAAATGATTTAGACCTTCCAGAGTTTCATTGTGAGCTTTTCATAAAATCAAACTGGAATAAAAGCCCCATATTCAGGATGAATCTGCTATTGCTACATTTTTAGGAACACTTTTTTGATTCTCTCCGCGGTCAATCACAGCACTTTCCCCGTAGCATATTAAATGGATTATTACACAAAGTTTTGCTACTTAAACTAAGTAGTATTTAAAATATGCGACTTACCTAATTATTAAGTGAATTAAAAATAAGCATGAATGTGTTTTATGAAGAAAAGATTACATGTAAATATACTATTAACAATTAATGGGAGTAATGTAGTCAGTTATTTTCCACTAAAAACTCAAAAAAGGTTCCTTCCTTTTAAAATTTAAAAGATAAGTACACAAATAAAATTTGCGTACTTATTTTACTTTGCAGTGCAACATGTTAAAAATACATTTAGAAAAGCTGATTACAAGAATGATTATTCTGTGTGACCCCCATACACAGTGGACATGGGTTCACCTCTTTACAAATCCCAGTTTAACCTGATTACATGTGAAATCTCAAAAGAACTTTGTTGCTATGCATTTAATTTTTCTCTCCCTTGTTTGTGTGAAAAAATGTGAAACTGAATGAGAAGGCTGGACTATTGTACAGACAATTTAAGGTAAAAACAAAATTAACAGTAAAATTGAACCTGCTGAAAAAGTTGAATTACTTATAGAATATTCTTAATTGCATTATAATATTGCATTTTGACCTTCTTGAAAATAGGGTAGCAGTAGTAACAGGGTTACTAACCCTCTGGGAGTTAATTTCACTAACATGAGGGAGCGCTTCCTGAGAGTAAGTTATATTTCTACCTTTTGTGAATATGAATATTAATTAGGACTAGAAATAGACTGGAACGCATATTTAGTACCCTTTGTTTTACTAGAACACTGCAGCCACAGAAGCATGCAGACAATACTTACAAATCCTGTACAGAAGGTTTTTGGCTCCCCTCAGTGGTTACCTCTGTGCAGGCCCAGCTCTATGCTATTGCAATACACACTTGCCAGCCCCTTCTTAAGTTTCCCAATTCAACTGCTCATCAACACAAATGTGTAATCAGCCAATCACATGGCAGCAACTCAGTCATCCATTTAAGCATGTAGACACGGTCAAGATGACCTGCTGAAGTTCAAACTAAGCATCAGAATGTGGCAGAAAAGTGATTTACGTGACTTTGAATTTGGCATGGTCATTAGTGCCGGGCAGGCTAGTCTGAACATTTTAGAAACTGTTGATCTACTGAGATGTTCCCACGCAACCATCTCTAGAATGCTTATTGTTGATATCAGAAGTCGGAGAAGAATGGCCGACCTCTGCCCATTCTGGGCACAAAAGTAAACTCTTGAAGCAGAACTACACTAGCATAAGACCACACTGGGTGCCACTCCTGTCAGCGAAGAACAGGAAGCTGAGGCTACAATTCACATGGGCTCAGAAACATTTGACAATAGAAGACTAGAAAAACCTTGGCCCAATGAATATAGAAGTGCAACATTCTGTTAGGCTTAAACAACATGAAAGCATGAACCCATCTTGTCTTGTAACAGTTCAGGCTGCTGCTGGTGGTGTAATCATATTGGGGGTATTTTCTTTGCACAGTTTG